TTAGATCATGGATTACAAAAAATTCAATCATGGATTACAAAAAACTCTATCATGGGTTACATAAAAAATTCGATCGTGGATTACAAAAAAAAAAACAAACATTTCGATCATGGATTACAAAAAAAAAAACCAAACATTTCGATCATGGATTACAAACATTCGATCATGGATTACAAAAAATTCTATCATGGGTTACAAAAAAAAAACAGCGGAATTTTGGTTCCGCAGACATCTCTGTGTTATCTCAAATTTCATGTTGTAATTGACCAAATTACATAAAATTGAAAATTTTAAATCATAATAGACACAATAAAGATTAAAAACCCTAATTATTGAACTCATTATGTTCAAAATATGTCGTGAAATAAATCATACGGCGGAAAAACAAAAAAACCCAAACTTCTTATCTGATTTTGTGAACCGAAGCTTTCAATCTCCAAAAAACTCTGTTTTTCTCAACGATTATCACAAATTAGTAACAAAAGGTTTTGATTCACAGCTTTACGATCAAAATGCCTACAAATTTTGAAAGATTCATGCCTTATTTGGCATGAAACTTTCAGAAAAGGCGGAAACCCTAAAAATGCAAGTTTCGTGATCCAAAAACACTAAATTTTTCAACCATTTAATTCTTGTAAAAGCTGAATAAAGCTGTTTACAGCTTGCAAATTAGATCACATGCCAAAAAAAACAAGAAAAATGATCAAAAAATGACAAATTTTAAAGAATCCCGTGAAGAACACTGTGCAACCCGTGTTCTTCACGGACTCGCCGATTCCGCACAGTGACTCGTCCGGTTCTCTCTAGAATCGGACGATTCCCGGTTTTTTAACCGATACGATCCGCCCATGGCGAATTCCGAATCAAACCGGGCGAGTCCGGTTCGACTCGGCATTTTTTAACACTGGTCTTATATATAGGCTGCCTCTCTCAAGCTCTTGCATATTACTTTTTTCAGGTGCGTGATTTGTTGCAGTTTGTTCTTTCACCCCTCGCATAAGCTAAAAATCAATTTGAATTCTCTTGAAAAGAGGTAATACTTCTCTTCTTACAACCATAGTTATCAAGATTGGATTGAAGCGTCCTTCGACCGGTTGGACTGAAGCGTCATTCGACCGGTTGATTTGTTGACAGGTACTTTTACCGGTTTGGTCTAAGGGAAAAATTATATTTGGTTGAAAATCGATACCAACCAATGTTTGACCTATTTTGTTAAGGCAGACCAACTGATCTTAATCGGTTTGACCAACCAAATGAAGTTTGACCAATTTTTTTAATACATTCTATAGTTTTCAACTATTGTATCTATCTTTTTTTTCTTTTTTCTTTTTTTCCAAAAATTTGGTCAAACTAATTAAACTCGTTTGACTAGTAGATGACTAGTGACTGAACCAATTTTAACTGAACCAAACCCCTTACTATTTCTATAGGCAATCCGATCTTGACAAAGGAATACTATTCTCCTATTGCAAGTAGGATGGGCGCTAAATAAAATATATGTTGTTCTCTTTACGACATGGGAATAGTTATTTCCTATTGCAAGTAGGATATGCGTTAAATAAAATTTATGTTGTTCTCTTTACTAAATTCTTTTTATACCATCACATAAATATACCGTTGCAGACACCCCATTCCCAGCTGAGGGAATTCCAAAAAACTGGAGGCTCCCAGGCTAGCCACTACGAACCCTAGGATCACCCAAAACCCCAAAAATCAGGACCCAAAAATATAGAACCCCTTACCGTCTGCCCGAAATCAAATCAGGAACTTCATCAAGGACCCCCAACAGGTTAAAAACTACCACATGGCAACCAACAATCTGGAAGAAACAATTTGAAGCTCTCCGGGCACCAATGTCAGAGTTGTTGGTGACCACATCAGCATAAAAACAAGTAGCAATGTCAGAGTTGTCGATGACCACGTCAGTATAAAAACAGACAATGGGATTACCAACACCAAAGTTTAGAGGAGCAACGTATCAAAATCATTAGCTCAAGTCAAAAGCCTACAAATTGAGCCTCCAGAAACCAACACCATGACCCGCAGTGCTAGCTCTAGGGGCAGCAATGTTAGAGCTAGGGATGGCCACGTCAACAAAAAATCAACCGTTAGAGCTAGGGATAGTCATGTCAACACAAAATTAGGCATTAGGGTAGTGATGCCAGCGACATGAGGAGCAACATTAGAAAAACAATGGCTCAAATTACAAGCCTGCTAGCAATAGCTTCAGGGGTAGCAACGCCGGAGTTGCGGGTGTCCATGCCAAGACACAAACAAGTACCGGGGGTAACAACGCTAGCGACATGAGGAGCAACGTCAAAAAAACAGTGGCTCAAGTTACAAGCTTGCAAGCCGGACATCATGCCTTGGAATGCGATTGCAGAAGTTCATGATTAGCCCAACGATGGGGGTAGCCATGTTGAGTGCTAGGACTAGCAACGTCGATCTCTCATGGCCCAAACAATCGGTAGACGTCAGATTTTGGAATGTTAGGATTGAGGCGGAAAGTAACCACCATTGTTTTGACGATAGGGGTGCAAATGTTGGCGTTACAATTGGTAACACCCAGGCCAAATTTGAACGGGAGCTACTAGTGGGAATGCCCAATGCTGCCACTGGTGTCGTCGACCGTCTGACGCACCACCGCCCAAAATCACATCGCCGGTAATGGACGGGGTAGTGTGTTCCATTAGAAAGAAGAAAAAGGGAGACAGGGAGAAGGTCTAATGAGAGAAAGTAGAAAGGAAATTCTCTCAATAAAAAATCTTGAAAATAGTTATGGAAATATCTTATGCAAGGAAGGCAAGGCGCATGTGAAGGACACCAAAAGAGTTGTTCTATTTATGGAAAAACTTTCCAACTGATATCTTGAGTTCAAGATTTATTGATATGAAAATAAAATATATTTAAGTCTTAAATCAATGCATCTTGGACCATCCATTTCTAAAATTATTAAGTATTCTTTATCTAGACCATCAATTATATGCAGAAAGTTGGACAGTCGAGAAATATTCCCATAGAATGAATATACCTAAGATAAAGATGTCGAGATAAATGAGTGGCAAGTCAAGCAAGGATAGAATTCGAAATGAATATATTCAAAAGAATTTAGGTATAGTACCAACAGATGATAAAATGAGAGAAAGTAAACTTAGATAGGTTGGAAATATGTAACACATACCCAGTACAACACCTATTGGGATATGCGAGTCAATTCACATAGAAAGCTAAAAAATGGCAAGGGAAAAAGCCAAAAGAACATGCTGAAAGTTTATATGGAAAACGTTTATATAAAGTGTCAATTATCGAAAATATACTTTAATTTTTGTATGGAAAAAGTCTATATAAGGTACCAACCTTATACTGTAGAGGTAAGGTACACTTCAAGTACCCATCAAAACAAGTTGTTTCGTCACTAGAAAATCCTCCACTTTATCATCTTAGCCTTGATATACATGAATATGAAAGAAAAAGTGAATTTCAAGTCCTAAAAATTGTGCATCTCGTAATATATTATCTAGACCATCTATTTTTAAGATTTTTTAGTACTCAGAAATGCTAGATTTGCACCATTTTTTGAGCTTTTAATTTCATTATAGAAGCAAAAAATAAACTTCATTTTTTGAGCTTTTAATTTCATTATAGAAGCAAAAAATAAACTTTTAGGCCCTGATAAGAGTTTTGACACCAAAAATATATCTTTTAATTAGATTTTGAGGTGCACCTTACCGTGATTGTTTAAAGTTGACACTTTATACAAATTTCACCCTTTTTGTATTATTAAAAATAAACCTCAAATTTTCCAAAACTTCATCCACACTTTTTTTCGTCAATTTTTATATTTTTTTTAGTAAAATAGCCTTCACAGTAGTCTTAAGACAGTAAAGACATCATGGTAAACTCACTACAGTAATGGTTATGGACGATTTAATGTTTTGAGACATCCCAGCATTTAAACAACTTTGATAGTCGTTAAAGAGGCATCACGATACTTAAAAAGCCATGATGGTCGTTAAGGGCTCTTATGCCCCGTGATGAAAATATAACGGTTAGATTTGAACCATGATAGTCCAATAAACCATCACAATTGTTTAAGTGTCACAATACTTCAAAACTGCATTTGACTTGCAACCCACCATGACCATCACAGTTTTCAGTATATCGTAATGCCTTCACAGTTCTAAAACTACCGTGAAAACTATTTTCGTCTACTCACACATCAAAAAAGTATGGAAGAGGTTTTAAAAAGTTTGAAGCTTTTTTAATAATCCAAAAATTAAAGTATATTTTCTTTCGTAATTTTTCTAACCTCTAATAAAACATAAACCAATTAATTAGAAAAATGTTTTGATGATGATGGCAAGATCTAAAGATCTATTCCATCAACGCCATTTTCAAAACTTTAAATTCCATAATTAGGGTGAGAATAAAATGCTCATGCTATTATAAAGCTTTCAATACCTCTTCTAACATGGTTCGGAGCTACACCTACTTTGATTGTTTAAAGATGATGTCCAATGTAAACAAAACGCCATAGTTATTACCATTCAGGAAAGTTGAATTTCTTTACTAAATTAAGCCACGTGTTTGTACCAATCTATATTTATATAATGGTTGCCTTTTATATAAGGTGCCAACTTTGAACAAGTAAGACACCTCTAAATCTTGTTTGAAAATGCAAGTTTAGCGCCAAAATCCCCCTATAATAAGCCCCAATAACCAACATTCAGTCTTCGGTCTTTAGGGACTTTCTTACGCTGATTTAAACCCCAATTATCAAAGGCACCCTGAAATTCTTATAAAAATATGGTGCTCCATAAAAATGAGAGGAGTCATACATTCACTCTGTAACGTTTGAGACAATAGAACAGCGTCCTCCTAAATCAGATGCAAATACCCAAGCTCAAAACTCAAAACTCAAAACAGAATTTGTACTAGGCTCATCAATGTTGCGTTAACCAACACCATTCGTGATGGGACAATGGTAGGCATTTCGGCCAAGCCCAGGGTGATTCAGCATAAGTTTATGCGAAAAAAAGTTAATGAAATTTTCCTTCACCAATTATGACTACAGACCACAAGACTGATAACAACAACACTAAACTTTACAATGGCATAAACAGCTTGAACCATCTCAAGGATTGCAAAATTTATAAACAAAAGTAATATGGCTGTGATAATTATAAATGATGCAGATAATTACAGATCACAGTAGATACTTATTGAGAGCCAAGTCTCAGCCAGTCAAGAGAGGATCAAGATGCCCAGGCTGAAGTGTCTGCAAACGGTTTCCTGCATTGCTCACATTATGTATGAGTTGTACAAGCCATCTTTTTGTCGTCTGGTCATCCTATTAACAGTGAAAGATCAAAACAAATGTCATAACCATCCCAGAATAGCATAACATAGTCGATTCAACTTCAAGTACAGCAAATCATATCCATACAGCTTTGCAGCATCTAAATAGGAAGGCTCTGCAAGAGTCTTCCCAGGAAGGTTAAACCATTTCTTCTTAAAAAGAGCATGTGCCTCCGTCAGCATGCCTATTCACAGTTTCCTGCATGGCTCACTTGTTGAAACTGGTTTCACATTTACCAGAATTTTAACACCCCCCCCCCCCCCTCTCCCCTTTTTTCTTCTTTTTGCTTTTTTTGTAAGAACTGATGTTTAGAAGTTTCCACCACTACTCAAGCTACTAGGTTTAGTCTAATTGTTTTTGCATGAAATGACCAATAGAAACCAAAATGACGGTCTGCGTTCTCTATTTAATTATTTAAGTATACATTATATTGATCCAATGAAGAAATTGTTCTCCATTATATTTTTTTCCACCACTAATTGGATTAGACTCAATACTGTCAACTTGATACAAAATAAGCAAAAACGACTCGGGAACATCCGTGGGTGGAAATGGGAATCATTCTCCCTTCTTTTTTAAGGAATTGCTGAGGAGTCCCGAGGAGCATTATTTTTTTGGAGCAGGACAAATATTAATATACAAGATTCCTCCAAGTAGGATGAGAATACACTACACATCTCTGATGTATTATGATATATAGGAAACATACAAATAAAAAGAACCAATAAAAGCATCCAATCTAAGCTAGTGACAAACTTGTAAAGAATTAATGGAATACAAAACCTGCAATTGGAAGTTCTAGCTCAGAAAACCTAACTATGAGCCACTGAAAATGAGATATTAAGAAATACTCCCTTAAATAATACAGAGACTAGTATTTCTAATATATCAAAAAGATTCAATAAGTAGAGACTCACCCTCAAAACGGCATGAAAGGTTGTATCCCTCAACATGGTAGGAAGGCAATTTTTTAAAGCTTCACAAGCCCTGTGAACATGGAAAAGAAGAAAGGACGATCAAGATATGGTAGGATCTGACACAGCAAATAATAACCTGTCACATATGTCATAGGTATGTTCAAGAATAAACCTTTGATTGTCTGAAAGCCTAAGGTAACAACGAATTATATGTTTTAGCAATCGTACAGAGGGCTGTTCTGCAAGTGAAGCAACCATTGTCCCCAGAACACGACCCACGGCGTAGAAACGCTCAGCAGTAGCACAAATATATGCCAGCCCAACATCATCCAAGAGAATTTTTTGAACAATGAAAGTAGCAACCTACAATAAAATGAGAAAAAATATAAAACAATACACATCAATATCTTCCCATCTCTGTCCATATGAACTGTTTGAAATCTTTAAAACTAACCGTTAACTGGATGGTGTTGGAAAATAAGCACATAAAAACATGACCTAAATATGCATAAATGAATATGGTAAAATAATAGAACCTTTTTTGTCTGATATTAACGACTTCGTCTCTTCCAAACTTCACAAATAACACAAACGAAAAACTCATAGTGCTCCAACAGGAGCACTCAGAAACAACAAATCATAACCACCTTTTTTCTTTATGGACGCTGTTAACTGCAAATCATAACCACCTTTGAGGTGGATGACTGACCCAGAAAAGTATCATTTCACTCAAACCGTTCTTTTTCAAATAAGAGTTGACTGGGAGCACCAAAAAGCTCCAAATCCATTAGATACACTGTCCATTCAAATGGACTGCCCAAATCTGATTTCGGGGAAGCAATAGAGTTTGGAGCGTTTTTGGAACTCCAAATCAAATAGATTTTGAGGAGATTGTTCTTGTAAAGAAGAACTTATTAGCAGCTGTTCTAGGTCCCTCAATCACAGCGAAAAGTGGTTTTTGAGATGATGATGCTCCGGTTGGAAACCAAAAGTTCTCCCACATTAACTTTTTTTAACAAATATATACAGCGTAATATAATAACTGTTATGTTCTGAAACGTTATCAAGTATTCAAGATAACACCGCGTGAACCGAGGGACCAGATTCACCACTCGAAGCACCATGATCTCGCCTCAACTCTAGGCAATTCCAAGGTATACACTTGAGACATTTTACATCCAAGTATCTAACAGTTCAAAAGCACGGCCTCCCACATCAGATTGCTGAAACCTAAACAAAAATTTCCAAGTTTCCTACAGTTTCAAATGTTAGTTTTACTGACACACTCATCCCATAATTTTGGCAGAACCTACCCTTAAACGAAGCCAATGTCTATAGAAATCTCTTAAAACTCTTATACCAGTTAAGCATGTAAGGATTAAAGCTGCTTCGAGAGTTCATGATAACAACAACGCTCCTAGTCCCAGTTAAATTCCCATAGGAATTAGTCTGGGATTTGGAGGCACGAGTGAAGACCCCCCACTCAGCTGGAAACTGAGATGCAAACAGTACAGGCCAGAGCACCCCTAAGATACAACCACATCAGGAAACTCTTCCTGAGTCTATAAGTTGTACACTCAAAGACTCGCTGAAAATCACAGCATAAAAGTATTGTTGTGTTCTCAAATTAACAAGAAATTGCAACTGACGACTGCAAAAAGCTATTTTAAAAATATATTTGCTTTGCAAAGAAGGTAAAACCTCTTTGTGTAATCACAGTAAAACTCTATCTTCAAAACAGGGACTCATGACAAGCAATCGGCTCATTTAGTAAATAATCATCAATATAACATCCTCATGACAAGCATCACAGGGTCTTGATTACATTTTTACGGTGTAAGGGAAGAACAATGATTTTTGAGAAAAAAACGTAAGGGCTGGATGGTCATCTCGGTGGAAGTCTCATTGAAAAATAGGGTTTTTATATGTCATGTGGATGAATGCAACACATCATCACATGAGAAAAGTGATGTTCATGTGATGGTAACACATCATTAACAATACGTCGAAGTACAAATACCTTGAATAAGGAGAGATAAAAAGGTGCCACTAGTCAGCCATTTTAATAAAATAATATGAAAATGTAAATAGGTTCCGTCAACAATAAAGTAATGTAAAAGGATTCTTGTGTGTTCCCTGGGTACCCTATAGCAAAATGTTCCTTGAGAAGTATTTAAACAAAATACTTATTTTAAAATAACAAAATAAATAAAATTAGCAATCCCCCACTTGCTTCAAAACAAAAAGACCCTCTCAAAAAAAAAATCAAGAAAGAGAACGCATAAGTGAAGGTGTCTATGGACTTGAAGCTCCAACTAGTGCTATACAGAATGCTTACCAGGACAGTTAGTGGACACTATGTCCATTATTGATAAGTCTCTCACATACCGCAAATTTTCCTTCAAATGTTGGATTGTCTTAAAGGCTTGCGCATTTAAGGCCCTGCGCCATTCCTAGTTCTCATAAGCGCTCTATGGAAATGCCCAGTTCTCATAGAAAGCGACCACCACTTCCACACTCATATAGGTGAGTCAATGGAGGATGTTCTACAATGCAACATCCCAAACTAGGACTTACATCATCTAGGTAAATGGAATCATTAAAAGTAATGCTCAAACTCTCCATTTGTTGCAATTAGTAGTACCATAAAGCAGGGACGACATTAAATATATTTTGGTACATATAGCATCAGACATTACATAAGTGACTTGTTTTTCTATTTGAACCTTGGACATGGGGTCTCCTTGTCCTTAGGTAGGATTCCATCACTCTATGGAAAAATACAGATGGGCTTCAATCTCATTCCTCTAGCTGTCACTTAGTCCCTTGTAAGGCCTTTCGTTAGTGGATCCACAGTGATCTGATTAGAGGAAAAATGGAGTACTAATATGACTCCATCTTCCAACAAAACTTTCAACTGGTTGTGCCTAAAGAGAATATATCTGGATTTTCTATAATAAATTTTACTTTTCGCTTGGTATACTGCAGCTTCGCAATCACCGGGATTGGTATACTGCAGCTTCGCAGTCACTCAGGATTGAAACTGCAGGCATGGGCCCAAAAACAAGTGGTATGTCTACCAACAAGTTCCTCAACCACTCAACCTCTTTACTAGCAATTTCCAAGGCTATTAACTATGATTCCATCGTAGATTTGGATATACAAGTTTTCTTCTTGGAACCCCCAAAAATGGCACTCTCGCCACAAGTGAAGATACATCCGCTAGTAGACATGGATTTATCAGACTCCATAACCCCATTTGCGCCTCTATATCTTTCTAATACAGCGGGCTCACCCACATAATGTAGTCCATCGTTTATGGCTCTTTTGAGATATCTCAAGACCCTATAGACTCCATTATAACGCTCTCGGCCTAGGTTATTGGTGTATATCTACTCAGCTTACCCACAATAAAGGCTACATCAGGCAAAAAACTTTGCATACATTGTACATCCTCTGCATTGTCCAATTGGGAAATAGGAGCATAGGAGCACCACAGTTCTTTCTAAGTTTAATGTTATCATAAGGGTCGAAACTGGTTTACATTCAAAGTGATCAAATCTTTTGCGCACTTGTTCTCTATAGTGGTCCTGGGTCAAAGAAATATCCAGTTGTAGTCCTATCTGAATTCCAAGAATCAAGTTAGTTTGCCCCATGTCCTTCATATTGAACTAGAAGATAATGTTTCTTGGTCTCCTTGCATATAGTATTGCTACCTAGTATGAGCATATAATTTACATACATGCGATTGTTATTTTTATTTTTAAATCGTGCATGCATGCAAATAATTACTGCACCATCACAAATTGTGGTGTATACACATGTAGCAACGACACTAATCTGAAATCTGTGTGATAAAAAAATTCTATTTAATTTTTCACGCCAATGTTTGGGTGTTTGCATCAAACCATACAAGGATTTCACAATTTACAATCCTTATGCTTTTGTCCCTTAAGGACAAATCCCGCAGGTTGCTCAATATAAACTTCTTAATCTAGCTCATCATGAAAGAAGTTGTTTTGACATCCAATTGATGAATCTCTTGATGGTATAAGAAACCAAGGTGATGAGTACTCGAATGATAGCTACTTGAGTGATTAGAGCATAATTGTCAAAGATATCAACACCTTCCTTTTGTTTAAATCCTTCTGCAACCAGTTGCGCTTTATATCTCCCAATGGTACCATCCCTATTAACTTCCTTTTTGAAAATCTACTTACATCCTAAGGGCTTATGGTTGAGAGTCAATTTTTCAAATACCAATCAGAAAAGTCATCTTGAGAGTCATCATGTGCATCATCAATATCATCATCGACGGCCCCCATGTATCAAACAACTGTCAAATCGAAGATTTGAATGAAAAACAAATTTCCGCCAAATTTTTGTTCCCCTCAATTTGATGCAAAAAAAGCTACAAAAGTGGCTGGAAATCATCGTTTAGGGGGTTTAATACCCCCCACACAGTTTCCCCCATTTTTGGTCAAAAATACCATTTTACCCGTTCCCGAGGGGCAAAATCGAAAAAAAATTTGCAGATGGGGATGCGATGCGATGCGGGATGCGGCCTGATGCGACGCATATGCGGCCGCATAGGTCAAAAGCGCATATGCGGTTAGTTCTGATGAGGAGCCCACCGCACACCGCATGATGCAGCCGCATATGCGGCGATGCGGCCACATTTTAAAACCATGGTTAGGACATGGCATCTTGGAAATTTTTAGGATCTTCCAAGAGAGATATATGAAAATCAGGACTAAATTAGTTGGTTTCTTGATTCTTTTGCTTCTTCTAGGTTTTAAATCCTTAGGACTCTCATGCTCATCAATTTACGTTTACCTTGTCGCTCTTCACATTTATTATGTTGCTCACCAATAAATGTGTGTTCAAAAAATTCTGCATCTCTAGACTCTATAATCACATTAGATTCCAAATTCAAAAATTTATATACTTTGTTACGTTCAGCATAGCCCACAAAAATACACTTTACATATCTAAGTCCAAGTTTGGGCCTCTTTAAGGTCAGGGAGCTTATCAAGGTTATGCAACCCCAAACCTTGAGGAATCTTAAATGAGGTTCCCTTCCTTTCCAAAGTTCATATGGTGTAGCAATGGATTTTGAAAATGGTATCCAATTAAAATGAAACAAGCTGACATTAAAGTTTGTCGCCATAAATTAGCATGGCGGTTTGAATTGATAAGCATGGCACTCACCATATCCACTAATATATAATTTTTCTTTTCAGCTAAACCGTTCTGTAGTGTTGTATATGGGGCAGTAACATAGTGAATTATTCCATTTTCTTCACAATATTAAGTGAAGTCGGTGGATCAATATTCACCACCTCGGTCATTTCTTAAAGTCT